ATGGTGTGGGATTATAATCATAACATGTACTAGCGGAATGATCTGGTATTGTAAAATGATTTTTTTATATGTTGCACGCCGGGTGAAGAACCAGTCGTGTAACATTGACGGTTCCTCCTGTTTGAGCCTTCAGCTGAGGGAGGGTGACGTTAACCGAAGAATCAACTTCGAACGGCCTTATTTTTATTTTACTGTTCTCAAAAAAATTTTATTAGTAAACAGTAAAAAATTTTCCACCATTCACAAACTTATGTCCCATGAGAACCCTGCTAACACTAATTTCAAACACTCGTGTCACCTATATTGCAAGAGATCTCAATTTAATAATCTATAATTTTATTCAAAAAATTCAACAATTTAAATTTAATTGTCCATATCTAAGATGCCTCAAACTCTTGATAATTATTTAATGGTTTGAATTCAATTTCGGGATTATTTTGTAGATATTTATAAAGAAAATTTGCAATATTTAGAATTCATGTTTCACTTAGAACATTTACGTAAAAAATTATCTTGTGTTTCTTGCTTAATTTTTTTAAAAGAATCTATTAATATTTTTCCAATATCATCTAATCGACGTTCGAAAAGATGAAAAATTTTGATGATAACGTCATAATATAATTTGAATCCCAAATCAATTAATTCTAAAAGTCATTCCTTAACAGCTTAACTTCAGGTTTAGTCCATCCTGAAGGTTGTGCAGATGGGAAAAGAATTAGAAGAGCTCATTGCATTACAAGGTCATTAACATCTTAACAGATTTCATAATAACCAATCTTTTTCCAGAGGTTTACTAGATCTTTATGAATTAAAATTGCTCTGGCAATGACATTAATTTGCCTGTTTTTTTCATATCCATCCTTTGGTGGATACTTGTTTAGCTAATTAATTCGCATTTCAGTAGATTTTCTTGGTGAAAATGGTATAAATTCGTAATCAATATTAAATCCCTGATTTAGTCTAATTTTTTTCTAAAACAGTAGGTGCATAATTAATTGTATGAGTATTTCCAGTAAGAAAATGAAAAAGTTCCATGTCATTTCCTTTTAAGTGTAAGTATTGAATTGATATGAAGCCTCCGTTAATAAAAATGATATAAACAGAAATTGGCAAATTACTCGCTCATGGGATTATTTTTTGCTGCAAAGTTTTAATACTATCAATCTCTGTCCTACACCATGAACAATCTTTAATTCAATAAGCTTTTGGTCGTAATTTCCATAGTGAATAAAAAGTCGTTGAGCAAAGTATTTCGAAACAATTCCGCCTTTAATGATAATAGCGCGAGCGACATCAACAGAGATAAATTTAGGTCCCAATCTAACAGCGTGGAAAAGGCATTGGGCTCGCCAAAATTGATAAATAATCCCTTGCATATCAACAACCAGCGTTTGCCAAATTGATGGGATGTTCAACATATTTTCCGAATATATACATAATTCCAAAATAATATTTTGGTGTTCCATTAATTATTGTCGCGGATGATGCTAAAATCTGGAGTCTCGATTTTAAAATATAATCCCTGCTAAAATCCACATATACTTTTTAACTATAAACTCCAATCTAACCTAACCCTAAAAAAATTGGAAAAGGATACACTGTTTTGGGGTTCGAAGTTAGAAATTTCGTTACTAAGTATACCAGCTGTTTGTTAGGTCCCTGTACAGGACCTTTTTTTTTTTATCTCCGTTAGTATAGTTTTGTTAAATAAAAGATTAGCGCATATAAGTAATTGCAAATTACGCGAGCATGTGCACGTACATACATACGTATGTACGTACAAATGTGGCACTAAACTTAAACATCTACTACTACTACAGAAAATAAACCGAAATTCTCGCATTTTTAACAATTTTTATTTAAAAAAAGTTACGCAAAAATTTAATTTACCAAAAAAAAAAATTCTTTTGGCTACTAAAATGATTCTTTCCGCGTATTTGATAAGTCCCTGGATGGGACCTTTTGCTAAATCACTAAATAAATTATTATACACATGATATATAAAAAAAAACGCAAACCGTTATATAATAAAAATTAATACTATCGGAGATATAAAAAAGGTCCTGTCCAGGGATTATCAAACACCCGGTATAGTGAGTTTATTTAGTGATTTAAAAAAAGGTCCTGTCCAGGGAATTATTCGAACACTGAAAATAAATATAAATAGCACGAATTTTTGCCTTTCCTCGGATTTTATTTCATTAAAATCAATTTACAATTATGTACCAATTTACAAACCAAGTTATTACAGGCCAATTTCAAAGACCTCATAATGCTAATGGTCGACCTCGTGGCCAATTCCAAAGAATCCTAAATACCGGAATACGACCCCAAAACCAGCCCCAAGGACAACGACCTCAAAACACTATGAATACATCTACTAATGTCTTGGTTCAACAATACATTGATTTGGTCGATGGCTCTAATCCATTTGCTAGGTTGCAAGATGGTACAACCCCACAACAGAATACTCAATTTCATACCGCATTATTTTTGGGTCTTCCATTCTAATAAGAAAGAAAATATATTCACGAGTTATATAAAAAAGCTTTTTAAGACAATTTTTAACTATATTATTTATGCTCTTACTGTAAAACAAGGAATAGTTTATTTTAAGCATTTTGTTTTTTAATTTATTAATTGTATGTTAATTTATTTGGTGATGTTTAAATATAGTAACGTCAGGAAAAAAACTAAATAAGAGATTTTAATAATATGGTTATTTTATATAAAATATGATGGTTCAGTAATTAATAACCTTTATTCTAAGAAGACAATAGATTTTTTAATGAATAAGTTCAAGTATTTGTAAAAATTGTCGCATCAATTTATACTAATTTTCTTCACTTGATGATTAACCAGACTAATATTGCAATTGATCAAATAGTGCCTTGTTAATTATTAGTTTTCATGAACAAAGTAAATTCGTAAACAAGATATAATACTTTATCTGTCTTATTGAGAATTATTAAATGTTGCATATTCGTCGAATAGTAACAATAAAATTTCTATTTTTCAAATATCCTATTAATTTATGAGTGACGAAAAGGGAAAACCCGTAAATCATTTCACTCATTGACATGATTTACAGGTTTTCCCTTTTCGTCACTCTTTTACAAGTTTATGCATCTTTTGTCAATCACAATTCACTATCGCTAAGCATCCTATATTTATATAAGTAAAAAAATATTAGAAATGCCATCAATCGCCAAATCCACAATGCACCAAGGTAATTAAAGTCAAATAGAAACATTTATTATTATGTCCGCTAATATATAGTTTTTTTATTTACATTGGGAATATACGTAAATTTGTTTTATAATACGCAAATATAAATAATCATTTCAACCTTCATATGAAACCCTGTTCAGCGAGAGAGGGAGTAATATTACTAAATACCCATACCCCTCTTATTTCATAACATCCTAGCCTGACTTATCATAATTGTGAATCAACCAGAATCGAGCATCTACTCAGTATATATGTGTGCAGTTAAAGAGGAACCGCACGTCATTCAAGTTTATTATTTATCATTTACCCTTGATATAAGATATACGATAGTTTGGCTTCATAAGATTTTTGGATACAACTACAACATAACAATTTATTTTTATCCTTGATAATGGTTACTTAAAAAATGGGCATAATTTTGTGCTAACCATAAAAAAGGTCTCCTTTTAACGACATTCAACTCTTGATCTATTTATTTAATTTATTTATTTATTTTATTTATGGTTAAATAAATTTAGCGCATGTGCGTTGTAACGCATCTGTTGATCAACCAATCAGACCTTAAGATCAGATGTAACGTGAAATCGACGGTTTTTCTAAAATCGCCTGTAGTTCATAAATTTGTCTATGAAACTACTTTTTGCGGTATAATAAAAAAAAAGATTGCCTTCAAAATTTTCGTATATGACCAATTTTTACTATTACTTAATCCTGACCTATCTAAACTTTGGCACTTACCCTAAATTAATTCGTTAATTGGGTTTGTTTTGATTTCACATGAAATTCTTCATTAATTAATTTTATTTATTT